CTATTTGACAAAAACATTTTCGACTTTCTGAGATTCCCTCCAGGTAGACGTCAAAAGGTTGAAAATTTTTTTGTCAAATAGGCACTGCCATTCGACGCAGCTCACAGAACTAATCAAAACTACCAAAAAGTTTTTTCTTATGTCACATGATGGCTTAGCTGTAAAATATTGCAAGTTGCCTATTATCCCAATATATACGAATAAAATATTAGATATTATCAAACCTGTTGAACTGTGTATCTATATAATAATGTTAAACAAAGAGGAAAATTTTGATTAATTTCAACACGTTGCAAATGTATATTGAATAATAGACGAATTAATTCTGTTAATTTTGTTAAATATCTCTCATCGATTTGTACTAGATTATTTTGATTTAAAATTGTATCAGTCAAAGAAAATATTTGTTCAAATAATTTCAATAATTTATCTTCAAATTCATTTGTTCCACGTTGTTTTACTAATAATTCTTGAATACAATTCATTGATAATAAACTAATATCCATATATTGTTCATTTATCGTTGTTGATCTTAATCCTAATCTTACATAGTCAAAAATACTATCTAACAAATCCAGATCTATATTATTCGTTAACGAAGCTGGCAACCAGTTGAACAAACGATCCATACATAAAAATATCTGACGTAAAATAAGATAAGAATTAGAATCAAGAGATTTTTCTAAAACAAAAAAAAACAAAAACAAAAAAATAGATAAAAATTTGTCAACATAAAATTGAGAAGATCGATTTTTTTTTCAACTTACCATTGTTGGAATCATGTGTAGGTAAAATATTCATTAATTTTTTTAGAAAACTTTTTAATATATCAATTATATATGGAATTTGTTGATTTAGACATTTAATTAATTCATGGTAATGTTCAATGGAAATATCCTCTTTGTTTAATGGTAATTCTTCGAATACTGTTGTTAATAAACATAAACCAATTAATGATGATTTTTCATTGATGAACTAAAAACAGAAATAAAAAATAACATGAATTTATTTAAACAAGTGAAAGAGTGTAAATTATAAAAAGATCAGGGAACAGCATAGCCGAACACACTGACCTCATTTTCTTCTTATTTATGTATTGATTTCTGTATAATTTGATTTTGTGCTGTTCTGTCTGCACCACTTACATGTAAAATAGTTGTAAAAAAATTTGGCCAATATCTTGGACAATCTTTTCGAGCTATTTGTACTATTAAACTCATTATTTTATTTCTAATATAGCTAACCATTGACGAAAATGAGTCAATTAAATAATAAATTAATGTGTCTCTTATTAATATTTGTTCATCCATACTAATATGTTCATTTGTATTCCAACGATATTTAATTAATTGTTCAAATGTTTGTAATAGATAATATGTTAATAATGGATTTTTTATTGAACGAAGAGATTCTAAACATATTTTCCATGTTTGTACACCATTTAAAAATTCATTTAATTGAAGATGTAGATAATTTTTACGTTCATGTGATGTTTTGGAATCATAAAATTCATTGACACAATTTTCAAGTATTTGTAACATTTGTTCAGACGACATTTATCTAAACTATAAAAAAAAAAGACAAAGAAATATGATATTTTTAGTTTATTAACAGAAATTTCAGCGTGAAAACATTTTCATGCTCTGAATCTAATTCGAATTACATAAAAACTACAATAAAGAGTAAAATTGACCATTTTTTGTTTTTATTTTATGTTATGCATTGATACGTACGTATTCACACAATTAATAATGATAAAGATAAATGGTGATGATTAATTCAGCATGATTACTAGTAAAAAAACATCTATCAATTCACAACTATCCAATTCAATATCAAATTTATAATCAAAATTTGGTGTAGAGTTTTTCTGATAATTTAAGTTTCAGAATGATAATAGAGATGCTCAATTTCGTTCTGATTCAAGATTAAACCTTAAACCAAGATCAATATTCCAGAATTTTGTTTTTAATATAACATCAATTCGATCGGACGACTGATAACTCTGAAATTAAAGTGGATCAGTTCAGATTTGATCTCTACAAGTAAATAATGATGAGAAAAAGGCTGGAATGCCAAGAATATGTTATGACAACAAAGTGTCAAGTTATAAATATCCATTAATATAGAATTTCAACATGTCTATCCTACTATTTTCTCAGAAAAAGTTTTGGAAAAAAGAGAGATAATCAACCATATGATTATAGTAGTGAATGGAAAAATATATCATTAAGAAATAAAAACGATATTGATCAAATTAATTCATAAATATAATTTAAAATTCTATCCATTGATGTAGATTCAAAATACTCACTCTATGGCTATTTGCTAGTTAGTAGTATACGAAGTATATAAGTATTCTTTGATTAAAAATGGTTTCATGTCGTATTATTATTAGCTATTATTCTCTTGTTCTCTCATCTAATTTTAACTACGACTTAGATGTGGACGGGACCAAGGTTTTTCAGTCCCGGTTCTGATCTCGGAGCGTTTTTATAGTCACAGTTTTTAGTAAAGTTTGCATGACGTGAGATGTAAGTTCAATGCCTAGAAAAGAGCTATAAGGCTTCCTGACGATTTTCTACAACATTTCTATTTAAGTATGGAGAAAAGGCCAAATTTTAGCTGATTTTACGCAACTGTCAAAAGAAATCTTAGTTCCAGTATCAGTCCGATTCGATCTTGAAAAAAAACTTTTTTGCTCCCAGTCCCGCCCGTGTCTAACTATAATGTAGCAATTAAGTTTATTCTTTAATTCTAAGAAAAAAAAGTCTTTTATATATTCAGTTATTAGTTGTCTTCCTTTATCCACTACCATTTTTAGCATGATGATATTGTTAGTATGTTACTCAAATAAATTCTTGATAAATAATTATTTTCATTTAACCTTGATTTATTAAACTTAAATTTAATGAACGAGCAGCTTCTTAGACACACTTAACGCATTCTAATGTTTTAATCTGCATATTGGATGATAGATCAAGAATACTTTAGCTACTTAGTTTTCAAAAGTGTTTCTCAATATTCTTCATCACTCTGCAAAATGTGCACATTGTGAAGAGTAAAGTTCATTCTATAAATGAAGATTTTGAAGAACAGCTGTAGTTGTGTTTCTATTTGAAATATATGGAGAGTATAAAGTAAAAAAACAAAATTTTTTTACAACAGATTTAATTACTAATAAATAGCCAGATGGTGATCAGATCTGGCTACAGAGGAAGTGATCAGATTTTCAGAAAGACTTTATTTCTATTATTTTATCAGGGCCCAACAACATAAATATATTAACAATCAAAATCAAAGACTACTGATAGCGGAGTTTTTTATTTTCTATCTTAATACACATTTACATATATATTGCATATTGAAAATAAGAGAAAAAAAAGAGAATGTGGTCTGTAAAACTACTGTTCACAGTTATATTTACAATGTTAATATACAATAGAAATTTCAAATTCCAATTCTTTTTTTATCTTCAACTGATTCTGCTGCTTTTGTTGTGGATGATGCTGATAATAATGTTTGCTCATCTTTGTTAACATCATCATTGGATTTCATTGCTATCAGAGGTGCAACTTCCTCTTTAACATTATTTTTTATCGGATTTTTTTCGATAATAAAATCTTTTAATAAATGTACAACATTTTCATCGGTTTTTAATGCTGATGTAAATAAACAGCCAACAAATATGTGTGTACCATATTGAACATGTTCAATTACACGACAACATCCTAAATCCACTATATTCAAACCGAAATATTGTAAACGTTCATCCGTTTCTAGTAATGTATCTTGAGTATGAGGACCATAAAACGGTGTGCCTATGAAAAATAATTAAAATATAATTTAGATTAATCAACTTGAAGTGTGATATTTTTTTATTTACCTGATGTTGGATCAATAAAATCAACCCAATATTGTTTTTGACTCAAATATGAACATATTTCACTTGCTAACTTAATAAATTTATCAGTCATTTCATTTCGCTCTATTTCAGTTTCATTTGACCATTGAGACATATCATTCTTTGTTTTCATACATAGTGTTATGACTGTTAGTGGTTGTTGAATGACATTATAATTTAAAAATAATTGTTTTAATTGTAATCGAAGTATTATTGGACATTCAAATGCTTTTACTTCTAACTGATTATTATCATGTAATAGTAATTTTGGTAATGGTGTATCAGATGCTGTTGATTTTGTCGGTGAAGCGAGAGTTAAACATGTGGCCATTATTTGTCTTAATGTATCTGTTTGATGATCATATGGTACGGTCATTGTTATCAATTCATCTAACAATATTTTACCATCATTACCATATTTATTTGGATTACATACCGGTGCTGACTGTATCCCTCCTGCTGGTCTAATTTTTCCCGGTAGTACAAACTTTGCATCCTGTTCTAACCAATCAGAATCATTTGTATTTGATGTTTGTTGAGTGTTTTTATTTTCAGTTCGTGTTTTTATTAGAACACGTGAACGGGGTTTAAATGATGATAAATAACGAGAGAAAGATTGGATAGTAGGGCGGTATGACGTTGAACGTGTAAGTAACCGCTCCATTAATCATAGAGTATCAAAAAAAATTGATTGTTGTCTAAAAGAAATAATGTAGATAGAATGTTATCACTTTGTAGTGAACTGATTGAACAACTATAGAAAGAATATCACTTTGAGTTTTCGAAAGACCAACAATGTCGTAATTAGCCAAAAAATAGAAGTTTATAGCACTAGTTCTCTTACTTAAATGGCTGAGGAAGAATACGACCAAATGTTTTAAGATTTGTTTTTAATTTGTCTATGAAGAAGAATTTGATTTTTGATAAAGCGTACTCGTTCTAAAAACTAATACTTTCATTTTCAAAAAAAGTAACGTAATAAAAAACCATGGGTTCGCATCATGTTTAGTGTGAATCATCGATCATCCTCTTTCTTTCTACTAATACAAAAAACACGAGATATATTACAAAGCGACGGTATTATGTAAACAGTACTAAACTTTCTTTTTTTCCTTTTCTTCAATTACAAAAGGCACAGAGAAGAGAGAATTTAAACAAAGAATCTGAAAAAAAAAATGACACATTACTCTTAAATAGTACTGTTAATTTTGAGTTACATGTTAAAATTCTCACACAACGCATGAATTATCCATTTCGTCATGTTTTATTAGATTGGTCAGTAAGAGTTGATGATCTTATCTCTTGTCTAACATTCGATGAGATTATTAATCAATTAGCCTGTGATGGATGTTGGGATCACACCGTCCACTGTACAACTGGATATCAAACTGTACTCTTGGGCAAAACAGAATATCTTCGAGGTCAAGTTAATGAAAATTCAACAGGATTTCTACAAGTCATTAATCTTGCAACAACATGAAATAAAAATATATTATATGCAGTAGGAAAGTAGGAAACGCAACAGCTTATAAAGTTCATGTGCATTTTAATGCTTATTAAAAACAAGGAAAATATGATGTTCATCAAGATTTGTCTTATTTTTCACCGATTATTAATATCATGAGACATTCGTTATGGAGCAGAAAACAGGGAATATATGGGTAAGTACAGTGATTATCACCATTCATGTGCGTTATTTTATCTATTTAGGAAAGAGTCATATATGACCGGGATTTACGCTTCGTACTATGTTCGCGGTTTACCAGGAAATCATCAACATTATCTGAATACAAATAGCGGTTATAAACACTGGGACGTTCATAGTGGATCAGAAAATAATCCAACATCTCGACTGTTATTTAATGCTATTGTTTCAGAGTATGATTAGTAATCAACATTTCTTCCACAATTTAATTCCTGCGTGTGCCAATGAAAAATTATTGAAAAATATCCTATGTGATAAAATGAATTTTGTTAACTTTAAATAACGGTGTAAATCTAGAGTTGATTGATTCATGCGATAATACAGCTTTTTTATTTTAACATTACATGACTCGTATAAATTAGGAAAAATTGCAAATAAAGATAATATCCATTTATCGTTAACGGATCGAATTTGTCTATTAATTTATACAAGAATGTATTTAGGAGAATTCGATTCGGTTGAAATGAATTCATATAGTCAAATATTAATGGATATCAAAGTACCGAACATCGAAAACTTGTGTTAACAGCAGCTATACAATCATTTGTATTACTTAAAAATAATAATAACGTTTTACTAATCACTAACGTAAATAACTATGAACGAGTTCTTTTACTTGGTCCAATGAGTGATAATCCGACACAAAAATTTGGTTATTATTCACCAATTCTCGATATATTTTATACAACAACACCATTGAGCTGTTTACAAGGTTTATTTCATAATGTAGCTTGGGAAAACGTCTGTATAGATGGAAATGTGTATTTGAATTACAATCAAAACAAGACAGTTGAACTATTTAAGCAAAGATACGTATGATTTAATATTTCTGTCGTTGAAAACTGGTCAAATAATTGACAATAAAGATAGTGATCGAGTAACAATGAATTTACCAAATTATCAACAACAGTTATTAGATGACACGTGGCTATCGTACAACGAAAATATTACTGTTTTCTGCAGCGTCATTACAAATTCAATCAGCTCAACAATCTAAAAATATTCCATTTATAATACAATTAGATTTTCCTGCTCAAGAAACTGGTCTTGCATTAAAAACAGCACCTATCATCAATGACAACAAAGTTTCATCAAAATTTGGTCGTTTACCTTACACATGACCAGTTAAAATCGACGATGTGTCCAATATAACAAATTATAATATGAATAGATTCACCTATCGATATTATGGAAATACAATACAGTCACTGTACAAATTCGGCCACGGTTTTAGCTTATTCAACGTTTTCCTATTATGATTTAGCAACGAATTTAATCGATTCAACTAAAGTGAAAGCAGATGATAGCGTTGAGATCTCTTTTCGTATTATGAATAATGGACCCATATCGATCTGATGAAGTTGTGCAAATGTATGTAAACATATACTGCAGAATACAAGTTTAATTACGTCCAAATTTCAATGAGTTTGTTTTGAACGAATTACTGATATATCGCTCAATGTTCATGTATTTATGTCAACAATAATCAGGGATATGATGATGTATCGTTTGTTTTTTTTTTGATTGATGGTATTAGTTATTGTCGTCAAGATGATCATGCCCAACATTCTCTGAAAATGTTGTGAGCTAATGTTTTAAGATAATATTAGTATATCACAAGAAAATAGGAAAAAGCCAATAATAAAAGAACAAATGACTATTTATATTAACAACAAAAATTTCGTGATTTTGTTCGCCAAAAGTCTACGCTGAAAGTCATCTATCGTCTCACAGTAATATGAATAATGATGATCTTCTTGGAGCCCAAATCACTATCGACGACAACGAGTATCTCGTCGAAGAATACATTTCGTACGCGATCAACATTTCACCAACATAAATAATTTGACTGTTTCTAATTTTATATCATAATTTTCAACTACTCTATTCACAAAACATCAACATTCTACCAATCTCGGTCCAATAACATCAGCATTTTTTATTCAACATACTGTGAACTAATTTACTGTCTCTCTTTTTTCTGACTCAAAGTCAGCACAATAAGAAAAAAAAATCAAACATTTTTGTCAATTATTTTTATTATAAATTTTTTATCGGACTTATTTCGAATTAATTTAAGAAAAAAAGAATCTTTTTCTACGTAAAAATCTAAACAACAAAATAACAGAAAAAAAACGAAAAAAATTTCGATCCAATAAAAATATTCAGGCGCCTACTTATCAATTTAAAAAAATGCAACGCTTATAGAATAACTGTCACAAATTCAAAAAGAAGTTAACAGATGCTGGAAGACAAATAAAAACAAATAAGTTAGAAAAAAAAATCACATAGTTTTAGGTGCGACTCGTTCTTTAGCAATTGATTTCAAATTTACTTCTATTCATGATCGTGTTAACACCGCTAATTTAATCTATTTCTTCAATTAAATTTCTAAAAGCAACAAAAAAAAAAACCCTTTTTCTAAAACAAAAATAACAAAGTATGAAAAGTAACAAAAAAGAAACTGACAAAAACAGGCCCAGGTCTATTTAAATCGGAAGGAAAAAGACATGTTTGATTTTAACACAGTAATTATTTGAGATTTTATAATAGGATCAACATATAAGTTTGTTTAATGTCATTAATAGAAATGACTTCGATGGTATCTTCGACTGTTCATATAATAATAACCACCAATAACTAAACCGATTGCTATGATAACAAATAATAGAATATAAAAGAAAATTTTTAATGCTGTCCAACTAGAAGATTTTGGATCTTCAGTATGGGCTAGAAAGTAAAAAACATTAGAAAAGAAATATTTCTTCTTTAACAAATTTCAAACACATACGTCGTTCAGCCTCAGCTGTTAAAGCAATTGGCAGTATTCCGCGACGATCTTCCATCTAAATTAAACAGAAATGAATACTCATAAATCGTGAAAAGAAACTCACTTTTCGTTCGTTAGTCGACTCGAGTTGGTAAGTATGTACGGATATAATATCATGATTATCTAAACAACCAAAGGAACAAATGCACAGTAGAATCGGTTCGTCGACTAGAATATTTTATTTACCTGTTAAATCACCGGTTGCTGCCGTAAAACCAAAATAGTAGTGACTTGGTAATTTGACACCCTCTACGGAAAAACATTCTTTCCATACATTTTTACCATCAATATCCGTTGATACCTAAGTAAGTAGTAATAAATAGATATACTAACTAATCGTCTCAGTCGATCGCTAGATGTATAGTAATAACTCATCATTATCACTGATATCAAAATAAGACATACCGTTAATTTATCGTTTTGATATCGGATGGCGATGAGTGTGTCTGTATCTCTACCTCTGAATTGTGATTCACAACCGGCTACTTGTGTGTGTGTGCCATCACGATCATGATCATAATGTAGTGTACCATTATTAACCATTGCTGATATATATGGGTGAACATGCTAAACAAACAACCAAAGAGAACTTTTAGAATAATCACAGAAGTGTGTTCTAAACGCTCGACTACGCGTGTATGTACTACGTAGTTAGATGATTTTACCTTCATTCAGATGAACTCAGTGCTCTTCTTCCCTATTGGAGGATACTCTAGTAGAAAAATCTCTAATTATGTGAAGTGCCCTTTAGAAAACGTGAGAAAAGCCTCATAACACATGTCAAAAACCATCATAAGATGTGCTGTTTAACGCGAAACATTTGATTCTTTAAATCAGGCGTTTCTTTTTAAGTGCGTAAATGTTAATATTCGTATGCCCGTTCTTTCTTACATTGTGTGGACCATTGTGATTGCTATAGGTATCGAGAATAACACCTAACCCATGAAAAAAATCTTGATTACCAAAAACAGGTCCTATTTGAGAAAAAAACATATCAGGGGATGCATTTAACGGAAAAATACGTCACTAACCTAAGTGTTTTGGATCCCGTACATACCAAATAACTAAGCCGTCTCCAAATAATTCTTTACCTGTACCATGAACTTTAAATTGAACATGCATCTCCCAATCAGGATATGTCACCGGCTGAAATTAACAAATATTAATATGACATATGACGAACAAATTATACGATGATGACAACAGTGTTTAGAATACATACAAGAAGATTCCATAGTCCACCCTGTTTGCTTTGTGTGTCAGCTGTAAGTCGAATCCAACGATCCGTCACAATTGTATTACCAGTCAAATGCCAATAAGAATTAATAGAAGAAAATACCGCAGGATAGGGCTTAATTAAACTGTGTTCTCTAATTTCATACGATGCGGTATTAGTAGTACCTGGCTGTTGAGCAGAAACGATTTGAAGGACGTAGAGGAAAAGATATTGAAACATAAAGATATAATTTAATTGAACTGAGAAAGAAAGAGGAACAGCTTTCTTTAATTTTAACAAAACCGTTTTCATCTAGAAAAAAGGCAGACGATTTAAAATCATTTATATGTTATTACTTATAAATAATGAATAAATTTCAACAGTTCTAATAAATTTACAGTTCAGGTATATGTCACCTATTATACTGAAACAAATTAGATACACTTCATGCAATATACTGACATGTAAATGACCATTTTCACGCATATACGTGTCTTGTTTCTGTATCTCGTTCTCTTATGTGCTAGCGTGTTCCAATTCGTTCATATAAAGGATCAATAGAAAAAGCATTTGGTGCCCCTAAAATTTTGCAGAACCGCTTAAAATATTGAAATCAATATTAATGAAAATCATTCTATCTCTATTCAAGCATAAAAATGTTGAGTTCAAAACTGTTCAATACTAAAATGTTGTCGGATTGATTGTTTTTACGTTCATTTTCTTTCTATTGGAAGAAAAACTTCGCCAGATAGTAATTGATTAATTAATACGAAATTATCATTCGTACTTTAACGAAGAATGGTAACCACCTCTGAAGCTCAAATCAGGCATAATTATGGGGTTAGTCACTATCAAAAATAGCGTATTGTGACAAAATGTCTTTCTCTATTTGTGTCCAAAACTGTGATTAGTAAGAAGGTGGGCGATCACCTCCGAAGTTCGAACTATAAGTGTGGTGCTTTTCACGATTGAACGTTTGTTGAGCGAATGTTACTAGATACAGTTTACGTTATGTTAGAGGCTGAATCATTTCTGATAGAATGAAAAGAAATACTTTATTGGAGAGGAGCAGAATATGTTAACATTAATTTAAGTGTCCATCGATATCATGCTTCGTTCTCATTGTTTGATAGTTATCATTCTGTAAATAATAATACCATTTTCACATGGTGGCGACGAGGTTGTGTTGTTTCTCGTGTCTTAACACTGTCTTTCTCACGTGAAACCACCTGTCGAAACCGGTCTTGGTATCTTCTTTTGATTCTTCCAGAAATGAGTCTCTAGTAACTGATAAACAGTTGTAAAACTAAAACTAAATCATCCGTACTTTTTGTAAATCATAATGTGGAACTGACAATACTCATTTATTATTGAAGCAATTATTTATTTGCTTTCACTTTCTTTAGTTCTTTAGTTAAATACTGTCTCCTAAAACGTCTTCTTCGATACTATCGAGAGTGAGAGAATATACATTCGCTAGTTTTTTGTGTAAAGCTTAGAACTCAGTTATTATATATGCTAAATTAGTTACAAACAACAAAAAAGTGGTTTTTATTTCTACATTTGATACTTTACTATGAACGGTACCAAATACAAAGTTCTTCTAGTTAAATGTGAAATAATTTTCTTATCCCAAAAACAATGAGCCCCCTAAATCAAGAAAGAACACCCCTGTTAACATTAAATTAAGTTTTATTCTTTCAGAATACAAGTTTAAGTTAATCAGTTTTAGTATTGTAAAGCTAAAACTGTCTAAAAACACGAATCAATTTTATATACGAATACATACTCGAGCATATGAAGTTATGTTTGTAATTGACTAATTAGAAGATTGAAAAAATCAGCTTTCTGACTTTTGCCAAATCGCTATCATCACGTTGTACGTTCTTCTCTGTAAGATAAATAGAGAAAAATGATCGTGTTTTTTTGTAGAAATGTTTTTCGTATGGGATCAGATAGAACAGATGACCGTATTCCGTGCACTTTTTCCTTTCTTAGTAATGCAGATTCATTGAATAAAAGTTCCAAAGTAAAACGAGAACAAAATGAGATCTCATTTCCTGTTTTCATTTCATTTTTTTTTGATAAATCACTACCATCGAGTTATATACTATGAGGGCGCTCTATAGTGTAGAATACTAAATATCTCCGTAATCCTAGCTTGTTTGAAAAAAAATGAAAGTTCATTTTGTTTACGAAAACTTTCACTTCATGATTTTACGTTGCTAAAAAAGAAAAATGTGCACTAAATATCCACCTTTATTGTATTCCAATTTTGTTCTTCTTAACTCCAAGATTTGAGACAGTTCTTCAACATTTCTCTGTGCCTTAATTGTAGCCGTTCAGCATTGAATAGTCGCAAGCATTTGTAGATGAAGATACAGCGAACACAAATCAGAGACGATGATTAGTTCGAAATAGCTAAATCGAATTGTACTCGTCTTCCAATCATTAGTCTTATGGTTCGAATCTCATGAAAGGAAGCAAAGATTTTCGATGATGAGACATGATGACGAGTTAGAAAGATAATGACACCAAATGAGGCATTTGTCTGAGAAAATCTTATTCCTTTGAATTTTGTTGATCGTTCGATCGACTTAGAACCATACGTGTGCTCTTTAATGGCTAACTACTTAGCTGAAAATAACATGAAAACGTTATGGTTCTTTTTTGTTTTGATATGGATGATTTAGCATCGGTATATTTGATACGTAGTAGTACTTACTTTGTCTTCTTCATTTGCATCAAGATTATTTTAACAATTCACCGAAATATTCACCTACCTTTTCTTCTTGCTAATGTTTGATGCCATGTAATATCAAACCGAAAATTTTTATTGTAATATTTGTTTATTTTTCAGACCATCATTGTCCACATCTGATATCTAATATGGACGAAAATTTATCATGGCTTGATGAATTACAATTCAACTCTTCGGTAAGAATGAATAATTAGTACCGCTTGTTATTTGATAGGTGTACTAATACTATTTTGTTTTCTTGTATTATTTGTTCATAAATCTAGTCATAGTTTTTTTTTATTACGTTATGATATTTTATAATGATACATCATTTTTTTATAAGTAGTGTGAATGTATAAGTTGATTTTTTTTGTATACGTGATGTACCATTGTTACTCTTAGAGTACAAAAATGCGAATATTAGTGGAGACAGAAAGTCAAGATCTGACTAAAAGATTAAAGTATGCTTACAAATAAGTAGAGATACTTGAATTAACAAGAATTATTGTAGACACTTTTTCCATGTTTTATCATATGAGATTAGGCAAGATTATTAGAAAACATATATCATTTCTAAATGTTAAAGAAAATATTAATTATTATTCAGTAAAAGTTATGTATTGCGCGTTTAAAAAAAGATGTAATAGTAACTAAAAAAAAATAAAGACAGGTAAGAATATTTTATTAATGAAAAATGATGGTGAAACAAGAAGAACAAGTGGGTATTAAAAAATCGTTTACATTGTCATGTAAAATAATTTAAAGTTCATACTTGTTAAGCAACTATTTTTAGCTCAACAAACAAATCGTCCGTCATTTAATCAGCAGCAGCAGCGGCAGCATTAACTCTTCTATCATTGTTAATTGGTATGATGAAGGTAACCATAAATTAGTGTAATATTAATAATAAAAAAAAAATCATTTGATGTGATATTGGGAAAAGTTTTCAACATATAAATATTTCTGTATAATGATCATGATAATAATAATAATAAGCGCATTTAATTCTTCTTATCATCTAAGTCAACTGTTTTGATTACTGATTGTTCATCAATCTATTCATTTGTTTATTTAGAACAATCAACAAACTTACATTACAAAACAAGATTTTTTATTATTGCATAAAAAAATTATTGCCACAGAGTATGTTTATCTGTTTTTTATAAATTTTATTGTTTAATTAGTTGATGATTTTTATGTTTTTTTGTTTTCTAGTCTGATAGTTAATCGATATGTAGAAGCAAAAAAAGCATTACAATCTTTACAAAACGAAAATGATGAATTAAAACAACGACTTGACCGTATTACAAAGTATTTTATTTTTTATATTAAATTTATTTTATCTAGTTGAAAAAATATTTTCATTATATTTTAGTGAATGTTGTTTATTTGGAAAACAAATTGCAGAATGTACAGATGAATGTGATGCATTAAAAAGGGTATGTATAAATCTAATTAATAGATGATAAAATAATAGATTATGTTTCTATTTAGGATAACGATTTACTAAATGAGGAGAAAAATAATTTACAAAAAGAACTTCGAATTATTAAAGATCAAAATACGGCTTATTATCATGAGCTAATGGTTATGGTGAGTGTTTTCAAAATAAAACGTATTTTGTCATTTTTCAATCAGTCAAAACGAAATTACCATTTAGGGTCAATATCATTCATTAAAAGAGACAAATGAACAATTAACAAAAGAGTTAGAACGTTGTAAAAAGGAAAAATCAAAACTTAATTGTAAACTTCAACAACGATCGTCTGATTATATAAAGTATGTTTGTTGAAAAAAGAAAATTATTTATCATTTCTATTATATTTAAATATTTTTTTAGACCAAAAAATGAACCACAATCATATCCGTTTGGTGAAATATCTGAAATCCGTATGCTCTTCTTTTAACTTTGGTAAAAAGATAGTTCTATAATGCTTTTTCTACTTTTAGAAATTGCCTTGAATACATCGATGAAATCAATACGTGAACTAAAACTTGCACTTGGACGAATAGTGAATTTCTTACAAGCAGAAAGTATGATTTTACGTTATTGTGAATAAACATATTTGTTTCAAGATTGTATTTGTTGTTCTTTGTTTCAGATATTGTAATACCTACTTCACTCCATATTCGTCCTATATTAAAAGCGCACACGATTGATGATAGTAAGCTGTGAATATATCTCAAAGTTCTGTATAATATTAATATGTGTCGAAATTATTTTAGATTTTATGGAAATGGAAGGAGAATTTACGTTAAAACCAACAGTGACAACAATAGAGGTATGTATGATATTCACCTTTTTGCCCAAGCACACAAAAAACATCGCTATGCAGTATCGCTCAATGCATCTCGGTGGTCAATTTGCTGGTCGACACATATAGATGCAGATAAATGTTTGAATTGATATTTGAATTAACATTTTCATCGAGAAAAACTCGGTTCATTCAAATATACTGGGCAATACATCGACCGCTAGCTAACTCGATGCTCTAGCTACAATATTAAAAATAATAGATAAAAGAATAAAAAATATCGAGCGATACTCCAGCTAAAGCATCTAGATATTTTGACTAGAGTACTTTTGCTTAGGTCAAAGTGTTCTGACCTGTAAAGAAAGCAAAAATGACACAGTTTATTTTGGCAACGATGTTGTCAGAATGCAAATTTTTATTGCATATACTTGAAACCTGAATCTGGATATTGTTTTTTGGAATGAGCGTATTTATTTTTGTTTATATTCAGGTACCACCAGTTGTTACTTCAATCAGTCATGAGGATGTTGACGATGATGAAGAAAATAATGATTTTATTGATGTTAAATCGGCTATATTGACACAACCTTCACAAACACAGATAGAACAGCAACAGCCATTACCAGAATCTAAATCAAAATCACGTAAACGTGCGCAGAAACAACAACAAGAACCAAAAAGGCAAAGTAAACGTTCAACAAAAGGCAAAAGACGTACAAAAGATGAAACGGACAATTTAATTAATGAACTAAAAAATGCTTTATCACAATACAAAGAATCAGAAAGCGAAGAAACAGCAACACCAACACCAACAATATCTAATCAAAATGTATCATCATCAATGAATGATTTTTTTAGTGATTTTGGTACTTCTAAAGTCAATGACGATCAACAACCAGTGGCGTCTCTACAATCATCACCAATTAATAAAAATGATCTACATAGACGTTTCTCAAAAATATTGTCTGATTACGAGACCGAAGACGAAGAACTTAATACATCTGTTGAGCAGAGACAATCAAAAACAGTAGCTAAAACGTTGAATAAAAGTAGAGAGAAAAAAGATGAGATTAGAAAAACAGCGCCATATACGATTATTCAACATACATCATCAAACATTATTGATGAACCAGTACTGAGTCCTAGAGAATTTTCAAACACTACTGATCATGAAATACCGAATTATGAACACACTCAGGGACAAAGTATTTTGTCAGATGATGATGAAATTCAACTTGATTCTACTGATCTCAATATTTCTACAAAAGTGTATGACACTCAAAAAGATATGTTAACATATGTTGAAACAACGCTTGGTCCGATACCAACATTAGAAGAAGCTGTTAACAGTGACGTTATGATTGAAAACAAAGAGATTGAGTCGATCAGTATTAAACGAACCATCAGCGAAGAATCGCAAACACAAAATGATACATTATCAGATCAAGATGAATCCTTCTTTGCATTGGAAGTGAAAAATGACGATAAAAAAGAAGAGACAGAGAAAATGACAATTAGTCCTATTGAAGAAATTGAAATGATAAGTTCTGTACAAGACGAACAAAACGACACATCAGTAATACGTGATATATTCATAAGTATCGTTGAACGCACTGAAGAAAAAGAAAGATATGAAATGAAATGTTTACTTGTGGAACGTATTCTTAATTTTACACAAAATATTCAAATAACAGAATTATTACGTCCTATTGTTCCGAAAAAAAATATCAAAAAGGTTTGTATAATGTTTCGCGTATCACATTTTTAAATAAAACATTTACATTTTTTTTCGTGTTGTAGACCAAATCTAAATCAATTACTGTAAATAAAACTTATTCTCAAACAATTCCTGTTGTAGAACCTCGTGAGATAGAGATCGTTGATACTTCTGTTGTCTCACACGATGAATCAATGGTTATTCAGCATGTCCATGAGTCCGACTTGATTCAACAACAGATTAATGATAATACTTTAATTAGTGATAGTGACGATGAGATCGCTTGTGAATCTCCAGAATTCGACGCTGTACATGTCAGTGGTGATAAGTGTACATTAATACATGAAGATAACAAACAGTTAACAGGTATGCTTTATTTATATTGACTGATATTTGTAGATAAATAATATTTTTAATCGAAGTACCGTATAAGTTTGAGATTTTTTGTGTTCATTATGCTTTTTGGTAATCAGTGAGTGTCAAAGAAAGTTATTAGATTATACTCAGATGATGTCTTTTCTCAAACCCTCTATTTTTTAGTCAATTTCGTTTCATTCTAGTTCTCTTTTTCTATTATCTGCTATTTAAGCTATCTCGTTGTTGTTTTTTCTTCTAGATGAATCAAGAGAAGTTTTGTCAACTCCAATTTCCTCGAGTCCTCTGCTGGAAAGAAGTTCAATCCAACTAGAAAATGTAATCAACGAACAGAAATGAGAAAAAATGATAAATTACTTCTTTATTGAATGACAACAAATTTATTTTTATTGTTTTAGTCTGATATTGTCTCACATAAACAAAACGAGAAGTCTATGATCGAAACTATTAATAAACAAGTCCAATCTAAATCACATCGTGTCGATCATATAGACCGTAATCTGTTGATTCAAAGTGAAGAAACTGAAACGAAGTCTGCAGAATCACCAGGTGTGTTTTTGAATAAATTGTGCTTTAGCAAAAGACGGTAGATTGGCTGTGCTCATGGCCTTAACTGACTATGACAGCAATTACAGAAGAGTCTTGCATAATTAGGTTAAATATTTTGAGTTTAAGTAGAAGATATTAGCTAGCTCGTTTTTGCCTGTAGTAGGAACAGGGTTATCAAATAGAAGCTTTGATCAGTGCTAAAGGGTGTGGCAAGTTTCCAGTCTCAAGTAGTACGTGATAAGAAAGACAAAACGACACATTTTAGTTTATAATGACGTATTAGTCAGGAATATCAGACCCAAAACATGAAAATAAGAGATAAAAGTTCGAAATCAGAAAACTAGAACTTAGAACAAAATAGAGTACAAATGAGGCAAAAACAGATCCAAAAATCAGAATTTTTCTGAAGACCTGAGATGTCGGATACTAGTCGAAAAACCTTTCGTATCGTAAAGGATCAGATAAAATAAACTTTTTAGCTAGATCACTATTATTCGAACTGTAGTCATTTGAGATGAGGCTAAATAGTCATTCAAAAACTTACGGCTTTGATTCTATATCCACTTATTTCTTACTTGGATTCGTTTAGATATTATTCTTCCACCACAACAAAATCGTGTAATCATTTTGAAACGTTTAATAGAATTTTTAACACACATTCCGTCTCCACAATTAGTCTCATTTTCGACACTAACAAATCCACATCAACCGAAATCAACAACATCAGATATTGTTAAAAAGATTTCTTCTCATAAGCCACCTGCAACACGTTTACAAATACAACGACAAGCTTCAACATTCATAACATCGTCGAAGAACTGTTTACAAAAACGTTCACTAAACAGTATTCGTCAATGTATAACACGATGTAATGTTCCATCTTCAATAGTGAAAACAAATTCAATAAAAGTTCAACCTGTCAAACCAAAACAATCATTAGAAAATAATTCAGCAAAATTTCAGGAAAGAAAACGTAGAATATCAACAGAAATCATGTATGATGAACAGCAAGTACCGAAACAAAAACGTCAAAAAACAACAAAAACAATAAGCGATGTTACTGTTACATCGCCGAAGATTCATTTCACAAGAAAATCGATTAAAACCTCTATACCCACAGTATGTTATTAAAGTACTTTTTTTCTCATGCCACCGTTCGATTAAATTTGTATATAGTCGAGAATCAGAATAATTCTCAATTTTTTTTTCTTTTTCTTATAGCCAATTCCTCCAATAATTCCCACAATTGTTGATCCATTATCGTCACCATCTACTGTATATGTTGATGAATTATCCTTGCATTCTTACTTGATCGGTAAAATAGATTTAACAGATCAACTAAAAACATTTATCAAAACAATGAAAAATAATTATTGTAAAAACAATGATGAAATATTTATAACTAAAATATATAAGAGTATTCTCGATTGTTTATTCGAAGTCCAATTATCAATAGTTAGTAACACTATGTATTTAACAAAATTACATGATTGTGAACAACGTATTATCTCATTGTTAAAATATTTAACAATAACGTACTATTCGTCTTCCAATCTATTTGAACAATATTTGTTTCAATTGATAAATACCAGCTTCGAGTCGGACATTCGCTTCAATACTGCAATACGATCAACGGAATTAATAATTTTATGGTAATTAATGATGTTTTTTTGATATCTTCAATTATACGACTAAGTCGTGCTGTTGTTTGACTGATAATGGATGACGCATAAAGAATGACCCTGTCAGTATTTATGCCATACCTCTTTCAGTTCTCATCATCCAAGACGGAATTTTTTTCAAAAGATTCGCCTTTTAATTCACTACAAAACCATAATCAGATATGTGTTATAGGATCAAAAGTAAAATAGTTATTAGTTATACTGAAAATGTACAACACCACCGACTTTCAGGTACAAAAATTAGTTTTGTATTTATGAGTTCCCACGTTGAAGTTTAAAAAAATCAAGTAAGCCGTTTTGTAGAACTTGAAAAACTCTATCTTTCTACTTTATTCCAAAATGTTCACAACAAAATCCTAGTGTACGAAAGCTTTTTTATTTTTTTCAGATTTTCGAAAAAACTACGTTTCCTTCCATAGTTTTAGCTGTTGTCGAAAAGTTTATATAACTCAGCCAAAAATTATTTATTTTCGACAAATTTTTTTGTTTGGAAGCTAGTGAGCCATACTATGGAAGCCTAACTTGATTTTGCATATATATCTCTTCCTCTCGAAGGGGTGTAGGCATTAAGACCAAATAAGCGGTTATGGACTTTTTGGCTGAAAACTTGATTTCCTGCTGATATTTTTAAACCTGAAATGCTCTCTTGCACTCTATTAGAAAGAGCATACTTGATTCTACAAGAAATGATATTTTGAAGGGTTTAAACAAGTGTTTTACCATTAGCAATAAATCGAAAATCAATTTGGACGCTCTGTCTAAAACTCGGTGTTGTTGTACGTTTTCAGTATTTCTGTAATAACTTTTTTACATTTGGCCCTATAACACATATTTGACTATGGTTTTGTAGTGAATTAAAAGGCGAACCTTTTGAAAAAGTTCCGCCTTGGACCACGAGAATTAAAAGAGGTATGGCATAAATACTGAGAGTGTCATTCTTTATGCGCCAGCCGTCATCTACCACGTTAGAACTCTATTCAGTTTTTCTTTGATATTGAATCTTCCAGATCAGAAGGAGAACTATTAGGAAGCATTGTACGGTATCGGACAAATCGCTTTTTAATGATCTTCATCGATAATTCAAGAGCTTTTACATGTGATCACGTAATTTGACAAAAGATGTTTCTCTTCTTTTATTTCTTCTCTTTTTTTTATTGATTAAACAACGTTGCGTTTCTTTTTCGTTTTAGTCGTTTAATTTTCATATTCTGTCAATGTTTCAATTGTTCAAATGTTCTTTATCCAAAATTATTTGACATTATATATATTCATACGATTTATCCGGTGAATGATCTATTTTCAATCGTATTTTGTATTTTGTCATATATTTTTCCATCTTTAATCGATGAACAACATCAAACAGCAACATACAACATAATGTTGCATCGTACATGTTTACATTTATTACACAAACAATATTTTATCAAATCATGTGATTCTTTGCGTTTATTAGGATCGTTAAATATGTGGACAGACGAAAATAAACATCAACAACAGACTACCAATTCTTATATCTCTGACTTTCTATTTGAGTATTTACTTCGTACCACTGATAAACATTCATTAATTACAAAACAACATCAAACAAATCATCCAAATGTAAACGATTTTCTTCATAGTCTAATATCAATATCTCTATGGGAAGGTTGGATATGGTGTAAAAATGATCTGTTTCAAAATATTTTATTACCATTTTTCAATCAATCTCAATTGTTAGATATTGAACATTTATCTATCATCTGTATTTCGATTCAACATATTTTAAGAGTGTTTAAAGATAATCAACAGTTTTTAAGTGATGAAAAATTTCATTATGAACTAAATCATGTATTATTGTCATATTCTGAAAAGCTAACAACTAGTAACAGTGACAATGAACATACTAGACAGTTTTATGTAAAACAAACGTTGGTAGAATTAAATTGGTTGTTAAAGAAATAGATTTATTGATTTATTTTGATAATTTTTTATAGTCATGAAAGAAATATGAATAAATGACGCAGAAAAATTGTATATAATTTTTTTCAAAATAATATAATGATATTAGCTATCTTCTAAAAATTGTGTTTTAGAAAACTTTTTATTAATTCGTTTGTTTAAAAATGGAAAGAAAATTTGCGACTTAAAACTCGTGGTCAGTGCCACTTATAAGAAGAAAGATCTACGAATGGAATAAAGTAGAGTGTGTACACTAGAAGGATCAGTTTATGTCCATTTTTTTAAAGTTTTCGAGCAAGTATCGAGCATCTTGTATCAGAAGTTTAGGTTCGAAAGTAAACTTCAACTTCATATTAATCACATTTTTCTAAAGAGAATGATAGACAAATGAATAGTGAAAAAAAACGAACAGAAAAGCAACTGATAAAATATCAGTCATTTAGAATTTTTCTAACACTATCTTCTTTTATAAGTTTAAATAGTAGATACAGTGCCATCCTCAAAATAGATTCGTTATTAAACGGTACTGATGGCAATATATATTAGTAGATATGTGCGCCGGTGAAAGATGTTCAGCGACAGCTAATCACAAAATTTTTTTCACCCTTCGGCGGCGGCGCAAACTTTTCCGTTCGACGGCGGCGAGTGGCACAAGACTGAAAAATTTCGAAATCGGCGGCGAAAATTGTTTTTTCTTTATCAAAACTTTTCTTATTAGCTGTCATGATCTGTCCAGCCATCTATCTTAACTTACAAGAAAATAATGATTAAGTGTTCACAAAGCTAAAAACATTTTATAATAGGCTCAGGTGTCTTCTTGAAAATAAGAACTCTGATTTTTTTCTTTGTTGTTGTTTAAATGTAGTATCAATTTTCACAAATAGTATAAAATCATTTGAAACTTTAAAAAAGTGAAAATCTAGATCACTGACCACGCTGAATCTTGTGACAATATAGGTTTTCTAAAAAAACTTGAGAAATATAATGAAAATCTATTTAAAATACGCTGTATTTGCCTATAGTACTGGTCATAATTATAGGGATAGGGATTCAAATCTACTTGTCTTCGTTCCTCTGACAGGCTTGAATAAGGAAGAGTCTATGTGACTCTATGGATTCGAATGCGTTCTATCCGAATATAAAATTAAATTTGCTCAATGCGACTGATAAGTTTGAGAAAAATATAGTTTTATCAAAAACAGACGATTTTTGGCTGAACATAATTATAGGAACAATATCGAGTTCTATTTATTTTTGTACTAAAACAATTTTAGTTTGACTTGAGACTTACATAGACACATAGAGTATGTTTTGGTAAAGGTTTGAAAAATGAGCTAGATTTGAATTTAGAATTAAACCTTATTGATCAAGCCAAAGTGGCTTGAAAACATCGAACCAATACCGTTTTTTAAGCACAGAAGCAAAGACACAGACGAGAACGATTTTTTGACAACGGATTCGAATAGAAGAGACTTTCCCCTTCAAAATGAAACGTTTCTGAGTTGCGAGGGTTGCACATACGGTAAAACTGTTTTATATCTTCTGATCGGTAGTATCAACGTGAAGTGAGTTGAATTTTTTAAATTGTGAGTAGACGACATTGACATTTTGAGTTTCTAGGTAAATGGAATGATATTCTTGTGATGTATTCGAAATAATTTTAAAATCTTGTTTATTTATAAAGATTTTTCAAAAACCCAGTTTTAACGTTCTTTAAAGACAGCGTAGTAACACTAGAACGAATCAAAATAGTCGAATTTAGTCTGTTAGAATTGCTTTTATATTTTTCATTTAATGGTAAACCGATACTTATAGCTAGAGTCTTAAATAAAACTGACAGTTCCATATACCGGTGGGGTTTTCTGAATTTTTACCACTGATACCGCTTTACTCGAAAAATTCGACTTCGAATGAGCATTCACATTTTTAACGCCCATCTAAACTCTAACAGGATAAGCTAAGGTTTAAGAACTATCAGAAAAAGCTAAAACAAGTTTTGTCTAATGTTTGAAATTTGACCAAATTCCAGTTAAAATTTCATTTTTGAAACTCACTAGACAAACTTAATGGAATATCTATGTCTTCAGAGAATGTGCCATTAATAAATATATTTTCCTCTCGTATTTATCAGTTTATATACAGTCATATCGAGCAAAAAGTTCACATTCGTATTTGGGATTTTGTTCTATAGAGATATTTTTGTGTTAAGAATGACAAAAGACAGAAAAAAAAGGAACAGAATAAAATTGCACAATCTCTAAGTTTAATAAGTTAAATACAGAAGAGAAAAAATAACTCGTAGAAGGAAGGATCGAAGTTTCGAACTAGAATAGATTTTAGTATAGTGTATATTAGCAAGCATTCAATTAAATATATAAAACTGATGATTATAACTTGGATACTTGATTGCGTTAAGTCAAAGATTATATATTTAATTGAATTCTTGTTTTTATTGTTATTTTGACTTCACTATTTGATTATTAAGAACTAATTCATGTCAGATACAGGCAACTCCGACTTCAACCCCGTTAGTAACCACCGTAATTCTTGGTACAACTCTGTAGGTACAACTGCTGCATTTTTATTTGTATTGGCGTTGATACTGTTCAAATACACAGTCTAACTTCAATAAATTTTACATAACTCCATCGAAAATCTGGTCAACTCCTAAATTGCCAACTCAAACTCCTGCTGGAGCTGGGCATCTCTGATTCATGTTCTAGTTTTTGCGGCAGCGGTGTACAGTTTGGTACTGCTTTCATAGCATAAACGGTTCAGTATATACTGTGAGAAGTATTGCTATGTCGCTTGTTGCAAAGAAATTTTTAATGAAGTTCAACTGCAAATTTGATAAATCGTATATTTTTATCTTTATTTTATGTTAAGGACAAAAATTTTTAAGTAATTTGATAACTAAGACAGCAGAATATAATTTCATAATTTCAAATAAACTGGAGGAACTTATCTTTTTTTTTGCTATGAAGTAAAACTTACCCGTCATATGAAAAGCTGATTCATCTTATCTATCTCGAATTAAAAAATATATCAGTTTTTTAAGTGTTCTGAACGAACGAAACTAGTCCGAGGTTCGCCGTTCAGCAGTTAATTTCAAGGCACATGATTTTACGGAAAAAGACTTTCAAAATCCTTTAAAGATTGGTTTTGAGGGAAGCTTTGAAAAACCAAATGGATGTTTCAAAAGTTGGATAGATCAATAGAAGAAATCCCACAACAAAACCTATAGAAAGCCATAACAAATGAAGAGGCCATGTACTTTTCTTTAGAGAATACTTCAGGCAATCTATCCGTGAAAGAAAGAAAACGATAATATTTTCCTTGGCAATTTTTGGAATACCCATCTGATTTTCCATCAAAAGCTTTCGTGAAGGGTTTTGAGTCTTTTCCCGTTATCATATGCCCCAATCTGGGCTATCAAACGACAAAACTCGGACTCGGCTTCCGTTCACATCTTATTCGAAAAACAGTGATATACCATTTAATTTGAAATGAATAGGAATAGGAAACAATATAAAAAAGAATTGAAGTTTCTAGAAGTATTCACAGTGCATTTATAGCGTTTACATTTTCTTTTTGCAGAGTTGTTATGTTCTGCGGAATCTGCTATGTAAATCAGAGGTGGACGAAACGGAGTTTTCGACCGTCTTGTCTCGTAACATTTTTTCATTTCGTATCGAAGGAGGTTTTAAAAGCTATTTCGTCTCGCCTCGTTTAGTAAAAGTTTTTTCTAAGATGTTTCGTTCTGTCTCGTCTCGTCGAGATCGTTTCTCTTATACCTGTTATAATTTATTTGATTTCTTTGTTTTTTGCATGTTGCTCATGTAACATATTTCATTTTCTTCCAATTTTTTGAATATTTATTTCCAGATTATAATTTAAATATTTACAATTGATTATAGTAATACAACTAATCGGCCAAGCTAAGAGTAGATGTTACATTGCAATGAAAGTTACATTTAACAATCCACCGTGTTTTAACATACTACAATCCAATAAACCATGTTAAAAAATACAAAATTGCTCTTAAAATCTAATAAGAACTATAATCATAGCGATAGAAAGCTATCTAATAGTTCAAGCAAAAAAAAGGAAGTCTTTTCTTCTGATTTACAATTGTCTGGATAGTACATTAAATTGAATGGTCATATTTGATAGTTTCCCCTCCAATGCTGGTTTTGAGCTTTCCATTATTGATGGGATTGTTGATGGTACTACTGGTAATGATGGAACGGGCTTTTGCTTCATTTCAATGCTTACGTCCTTCAAAACTCTTTCCAAAGCACTGATAACCTTTTCAATTTCATCCATTTTTATTGTCAATGGCGGTTCAATACGAAATGTCTATAAAAAAGTTCATAAAACTCCAGATTTATTGAGATGTTATACACTAAACTTGATTACCTTTGCATTTTGAAGTGTACCAGCAACTAGAATCTTTTCTTTAAATAATCCTTTGGCTACTTTAAATCCAGTGTCTGAATCAATAAATTCCAATGCTAACATTAAGCCTGAAAATTGAAGAAAGAAAATGATAAGTTTAAACAACAATTTGTAAATAAATTTTACCTTTGCCTCGTGCATCGACCGCTAAATCTGGTTGATACGGTTTTATTACTGCTTTCAGTTTGGATAATAACAGATCGCCCATGATTCGTGCTCGATCGATCAATTTTTCTTCCAAAATAACATTGATCGTTGCAATGGCTGCAGCACATGCTAATCTAAAATATGCACAAATTACGTGCGTCAGAAATTCAGCATTGTACACATAATATGGAAATAGTGACTATTTATAGACTACTATACAGGACCAGACAGTCAAATAGACGAATTACTTACGGATTACCACCAAACGTTGTTGTATGTAGAAATGGATTAGCGAATAAATGTTGCCACAATTTTTCCGTGCCAATGAAACAACCAGCGGGTAAAATACCACCTCCGAAAGCCTAGAAATTTTTTTTAAACCAATGATAAGTAGAAATATATTTCTTATAATTGTTCATACCTTTCCCAAGCACAATAAATCTGGTTCTACACCCCAATGCTCAATGCAAAACATCTTTCCAGTTCGACCCATCCCTTCGAAAAAATTATTTTAAGTCTGATAAAATAGGAGAGTATCTTAAACTGAGCATACCTGTTTGGACCTCGTCTACGATTAATAAAGCACCATATTTCGTACATAAACGTCTAACAGCAGGAAAATAGTCATCACTTGGAACAATGATTCCACCTTCCCCTAGTATTGGTTCCAATAAAACAGCAGCTGAAAAAGGAAACATGCAAAAAAATTCGTTAGTTTAAACAGTATGCATTAACTTTTAATTTGTGTTCATACCGACATCATCACCCGTGAACTGACATGCCCACAGTGTTTTCTCTAATACATCTATATCATTGAATGGCACATGTCGTACATTATGCAGTGAAGATAAAAACGGTTTTCGAAAAGCTGCTCTAAATTAAACGAAAAATAGGCTATGAAATTAATTTGAGCTTGTGAGGAAGCTTTAGTGTTTCAGAATGTATCATCGCATTTGGATATTATAGCAGAATGAGTCGAATATGTTTTGAGAAATGTTGTGTAAGTTCTAAAAAAGGATAGTTTCGCTGAACTGAATGAGAGTGGAGTCAAGTTGAGGCTCATTAGTTAAATAGTATTCTTGATAGTACTTACTTTGATGTCGCAGATAACGAGCCTAAACTTTTACCATGAAAACCTCCGCATGCTGCGATGAATGTGCGCCTCTGTGTGGCTAACATGGCAATTTTCATTGCTCCTTCAACCTAAAATGTATGAAAATATATGAAACGATTGTACGATGCACACACTAATTGGATTAAAAACATTGATGGTAATGACGTCTCTGATTAAAAAATACTTACTGATTCTGTTCCACTGTTAGTAAAAAATGCGTATTTCAATGATCCAGGTGTTAAATCCGCGAGAATTTTAGCCAAGTAACCTCTTAACGGATCAAGAAGTTCTTGACTATGTAATGCTTGTCGATTCAATTGATTTATAACTGCTTCCATTATTTTTGGATGTCTATGTCCACAACTAAAAAAAAGCGATAGTACGTAGTTTATTTAAATTTTGCATTTTGTGAGATTTGAATCTCTTACTTGTATATTCCATAACCACCAAGACAATCGATGTATTCAAGACCTTTTACACACGTAAATGTATTGCCGCTATCAGACCATTCTACAGCTGCATAATCCGGTGAAAATGATTTTCTATATGATAAAAATCCTAGAACACAGATTAAACATTAAGTTTGTACTGAAACTGATTATTTTCTTATCCTACCAGGATTAACATAATCAGTAAAATTTTTAACTGTGTCATCAATTAATTGCTTTTTCTCATCATCATTCAAATCTTTCTTTCCAATGAGCTCAAGTGCTCGTTGTGTTTGTTGTAATACTTCACCGTTTGGAGTTTTCATTCTTGTACAACAATTCAATTAAATATACTGTCCAGATGGTATAGTAATTATAAATTTTTTGTTCTATATTGATAATTATCCGATGTCCCGTACCAAGCAGAAGACCAAAATGGATCCAGACGTGGATCGCGATGTGATGATTTAATGCGTTGTCGTTTATAATCGATCGTAATTCGATAAGTATCAGGTTGACTTGGTCGAGCTAAAGATTTAACCATTAATTTCCGGCTCTTTGTCCGAGGATGTAACTAGATCTTAACAACTGAAAACCAAGTATATTTATACTAAAATATTAAAAAACCCCGACTTTCTAGAAGATTAGAAAAAACAAATAATGAGTAATTTTTTATGGTTCCAATAAGATAACACTCAAAATAGAGAAAAAATGTCGAAATGTCAATATTCATTTCTAAAAATAGTGATGTAAACTATAAACTATTTGCGCATATATACAGGAGTATATAATAAAAAAAGATGAAAGGTCTCTTCGTCCAACCTGTATGCAGGCATATTCATGTGAACAGTTTCAGCTGCTTTAACATTTTAAATTTTTATTAAAGAGAACGAAAAATGTTTTGTTTTTTTGAATTTTATTGCATATACATAACTTTGATCACACCCCTCTCTCTCTCTCTCTCTCTCTCTCTCTCTCTCTTTTTTTTTTTCCATTGAAAAAGAACGCAAAAGACCATAATACCCCGTCGATATCAAATAGTTGATTGGATATGTATAAATCTCATAGAGAAGACTCGAGAATAATCCCCTTGCCATATATACGCGACCAGTTCATTCATGTGAAACGAAAAGAGAGAAAGTGATAATAATTCTCTATATTCTCATCATAATGGTTTCCCCCCAGAGTAATGGCCAAATGCAACGATAATTACGGGTATCGAGCCTCAAGCCTCTACCCAAGTCAACTTTCATGCGTCTGCCGCGCCGCGAGTCGCGACAAGCAAGCGTAATTCGATCACGAAATATGAATCTTATGCGAGGGACCGCGGTCTTGTGATCCGAGAATGATCGCGCTGAATTTGTGATTGCCATGGTCCGATAAGAATTTATTCGCTATTCTTGTGCTGTTGTCGAACAGAAATGGCGGATGTCATATCGCAATCATGCCTTTCTCGCAAATTCGCACAGCATAAATCGCTATTTTCACACCGACATTCTCACGTTATTCCGTTCCCGCTCCGTCGAATTCCAATTAGTTAGCAGAATTTAGGTTCATAATCGTACGCCTCATATTTTGGGCTCCGTGTCCATAAGTGAATATTAGTCTTTTCAATAAAGGCTTAGTCTATTAAATTTTGCTAACTAACTGGAATCAAACGGAGCATAGTTTCTACACCTCGACTTTATGCATCGTGTTTTACTCGGTGTTTTCTTCGAGAACATAGTGCATTTAAGTCAGCGCTAGCGCTTCATATGGACTGGACTAAAAATTGTTTGGGTGCATGGACTCACTGGACTGGACTCAAACTTTCAAGACCATGGGCTGGTCTGGACTCGAAAAAAAGCTTTGAATTCACTTGAATCAAGAAACAAATAATAAAAAAACACGTTATTTTTGTATTGTGTGGACTAAAAAAACTGTTTTTCATGGACTCGGAGTGGACTAAATTCTTTTAGTCCCGGGACTGCACTGGACTCAGAATTACCCAGTCAGCGGACTCAATTTACCCAGTCAGCGGACTCAATTTACCCAGTCAACGTAATTAATTGAAAATCGTTTTTTACAAGTAGTTGTTCTGTTTTTTGTAATATTCCACGTTACTGAGGCAAGATCAAGTAACTGGAACTCACTTGAGTAACTTTAAGAGAGAATCAGATGGTTTAACCTCACAACAAAAAAGGATTCAACATTGCTCACTTTCGTTTAGAAATTGCTGTGTGGGTACCTATGACTAATTTATTTGATTAAATAATAAATTGGGAATACGTAGTGTTGCATAAAACGAAACTCACGTAAAAAGCTCTTCACTCTGCTATAAAAAGAATGACGAATGATCTATTTTGCTATCGATCATAAGTCTACACGTTAAGATAATCACGTGCAACATATGTAATATAGACTATACGTCTACATATACACACATACACACACACACTCACACATGTGATTTCTCTTTCTCTCGCTACACAGATTAGAGAACGAAATAATTAGAGACACAAGATAATTAAAAAACCGAACTAAAATGAAGAGATTCCATCCTGCTTTCTTTCAAGAATCAATTTGCACATCTTATTTTACCTCTCCATTAATAAGCGAAAATCGTGATTCACGCCGTGACTTTGAAAGATTCTTGTATTGTGAACCTCGAAACCATTAGTTGCAGCGTGAAATGTCAAATTCTTGCTTGAATGAGAAATATCTGAGTCGCATCACGAGTCTTGTTTAAGGATCACGCCATGGGTGAGACATCAAGATTTTGTAGTTTTTAGGACGTGATCTTTACCGCGATCATGTTGCGACAAGCACGATTGCGGCTTGAGTTAGGCAAGAGTGTTGGCTTGTGTGGTTCATTCATTATCAGCGACAATTATACGAAAAACTGTCCAAATATTTATAAATTCAGATGAACTCTGTAAAAAATTCAAATTGACAATTAATTCGTAAAGCTTAAATAATAACGCATAATCCTTCTTTTAGTATATTTCTCTTTTTTCAACGAAAACAGCTGTATTATGTATTGAGAGTCGTATTGACCTAACAGATAAAAACTAGTGATAACCCATATAAAAAATTACATAGGTCCTATGCACATAGTTTCGCATAATAAAACAGTTTAATTATGTGTAATTGTCGTTATGATATAGATTGCATTATGCATAGGATGGGTAGCATTTTGATAACGGAAAGTCAGGAGCTATGCATAGGATGGTTTCTCTATGGATAAAAAAAGTCCCATGCATAACCACGCATACTACTCTTTTATGCCTAGGATCCTGTGAATTATGCATAATTTTCAACCTATTAACCTGTATTATAATTTTCAATCGGTTACTTTTGAAAAATTATGCAAAACTACGTGCAGAACCTGTTTAATTTTTTACATGGGAAAAGAATGTGAAGAAAAAAAACTTCAACATGTCTAGGTATCGCAAATAAATTAACAAACATTTAGCGATGTTTTTTCTTTAGTGTTTTCAAATGGGTATAGGAGCGGACACACCCCTCTGATATATCACATGTGAAATTTCACATTTTACAAATAAAGGAAAATGTGTGTTCTACATTGTGACAAAGTGCTTTTAGTCAAATAATCTATTCATCTTGTAACGTTTCAAGCACTAAAATCTAACCGATTAAATAAAAGTATTCTATTTTGGTTTTCGAATACTACACACTACCGATCAATTTCAGTTCAATTCATTCTTTAATACGTGTACTGTCCATGTATTATATATGATTCATTTAATTTTTGACCATGGAGTTCATGTACGTCATACGTCCATGAATCATATATAATTAGGGAAATTAAAAGGTTTCCGAAGGAACTTTTGTAAGTTACCAAAACTTACCAAAAACATGAAAAACCGTCAATTTGAGTTTCATAGTAGCATTATCACGTATTATCTAAAATATGGGTAATGTTTTAGGTTTTCTCGTGGACAGTGAACGTGCTAATTTATTAGAAATTTAGCTTTCGATTATAGAAAAATTATTCTTAAAACTGTAGAAATTGACTAAATAAATACTATGTTCTCAGGACGAAGAAAGCGGTGACATTAATGCCTCTTTGGCAGCCAGTTAAACGGCCGTTAAATGACTATTTTCTGATCATCCAACCGGCCTATATTAAGACCGAGAAGTGACCATTTTATTCACGATATAAAAACGGCTAGTGAACAATGGTTCTTTTAACACGTTCACTGTCGATGAGAAAACCTAAAAC